TCAAAAAAATTCAATATAAAAATTTTAAACAAAGAAAACTTTTAATTTAAAGATACAAAAAACTGTTATCTGCCTAAATAAAAGCAAATTCTGTTTTAAAAAGTTTTTAAGTTTTTAAACTCCAAAAGTGATCTTATAATTTGACGCTATCCTGTGCAAACACATTTTGGTACATACTCAAAAATATCTTTTTCATTATACTTAAACTAAAATAAATGAAAAAGGAGTAATGCCGTTATAATATTATATACCTNAAACACATTTTGGTACATACTCAAAAATATCTTAATGTAATGCCGTTATAATATTATATACCTTGGAATTTTACAACAAGAAAAAAGATACACACTCAAATGTTACTTTACCTAAAAATCCTTTATTTCAGTAATATACAACCGTAATTTCATAACATTCGCAATCTATATAGCCGTTTTTTTATATGTTCTAAAAATTAAAACAAATTGTCTACCACATATATTTAAAATATTTTAATGTATATTCTTGATTCTTAAAATAATACACAGTATTCCGTTAGTGATAACTCTTCTGATATACACGAATCGGAACAATAAACACTCAATGTTTATTATAAACAAATTTACCACAGAAACTATGTGCGAGTCCGACAACTTTATCTTTATGATACTTAAGAATGTGTGGCTTATCACATTAAGGATAGCATATTATGTCATTGTTATTTAAAGCAAAATATAAATTTGTAACCACCTTATCGAGAGTAATGAGCTCAACGTTGTCGTTGAGGTAAAATATTGTTTCAAGTTCGTCTTGTATATAAATAGAAACCTTATTATTAGATGATATAACAAGAATATCTCTTACTGTATAAAAAGCAGTACAAGAATATGGCTGTGGCTTATAATCATTATCATAACAAAGACTATGTAAGTCGTAAATCTCTATTTTTTGCGAATGCTTAATAATTAGTTTTCCATCAAAATCATACAGACGGCAATTAGTAAAATTTTCACTAAAATCCCGTGATCCTTCCTTCGAATGTATTGAAACCTTTTTCTCGTTAAGAATGACAGTAAAATCTTTTATACAGCAGATATCGTTTGCTTTGTGTTTATAGGAGATTTCCTTAACAAGA